AGAAGAGGAAGTCATGGATCACCCTATAGAACACCTCTGTAACCTGCATTTGACCTGCAGCTATGCATTAGCTGTTATCTTTCTTGATTAGAAGAGGAATTTTCCACATTCATAAAATGACCTTTTGAAAAATATTACCCAGGAAATGTCTACTATTTTCTACTTGCTCCCATGCTCAGTCCTAGAGCTGTTATCTGTTAAGTTAAAAATGTTAACTTATCACCTTGCAATTACCACCTATTCAAACAAGATTAAGCAGAAAACCAATGAACCCATTTACTTCATAAACATTAATTGAGTGATCACTCACTAAGCACATACAGCTGCCTTAGGTGCTGAGCAATAACCAAAAATATATATTAAATAATATATAGTCTAAGTATATAATATACATATATTTAAATTATACATTTTAATACAAGTGTATTAAAATATAAGTTTATAAATATCTACAAACAAATATACATGGATACATACTACATACTAATAATCCTTGCCCACATGGGAGACAAGATATACAAACACAGAATCATGAAATAGAGACGTTTATAGGTAAAACTTCTCCCTTCTGCTGGAGGGAGGCAGAAGCCCAGGACTATCATTTAACTTTTACTGGAATGTTGGGAGGTGGTCAGATTAATTGTTTCTTTTCTTTTTCTTTTTAATAGATGAGAAGTTAAGTAACTTATCCAAAGAAACAGCTCAGTAAGTGGCTAAGCTGGTCTGACTCCAATGAGCAGCAAACAGGGACAACGTTTTGGAAAGATTAACATGGCAGACGTTTACTGAGTCAATCAGAGGAGATGGAGACGGACGGAGCCAGGGAGGCCAATAAGGAGGTCAGTGGACTAGTGACAGGACAAGAAACCAAACTATGTGGACAAGAAAATGGGCAAGGACGCAAAGGCATTTAACGGAAGATGATCAGAACTGGGTGAAAGACTGAACATAACTTGGAAGCAGAAGCATGATTTTAAGTTTGTGTTATTAGTAAAGCCAGGCTGAATGAGAAAGGTGGGGAGAGGGTGGCAGGGGTGAAGGAGACTAGAGATAATTAACTTAGTTTTAAATGTGTTCCTTTATAATAAAAAATAATGTATAAAACAATACTTTGAAATTTGAGAATGGAAAATATGCAAAAAAGGGTAGCTAAGCATACCCAAGAGTATTGAAAACATATGTCCACACAAACACTTGTACATGAATGTACCTAGCAGCATTATTCATACAGACAAAAAGTGGAAACTACCCAAATGCCCACCGGCTGATGAAGGGACAAACAGTGTGTAGGACGGCTATACAATGTGGTGTCTGTCACTCAGTCATGAAAAGGAAGGGAGCACTGCTACCACACGGATGGTCCCTGAAAACATTATGCTAAGTAAAAGAAGCCATTCACAAAAGAGCCCATCTTTATTGTTTGATAGAGAAAGCAAATCTATAGAGTCACAAAGTAGATTAGTGGTTGCCTAAGATGGTGGCGGGGGGCAGCCTGAGGTGAAATGAGGAGTAACCGATAATGGGCATACGGTTTCTTTTTGGGTTCACGAAAATGTTCTAAAATTGATTGTGGTGATGGTTGCATTGGGAAATATTGGGTTGCATTGGGAAATGACTGTACATTGAGTTGTACAATTTCCATTGGTGAACTGTATGGTATGTGAATTATATGGTAATAAAGCTGTTTTTAAAAAGTACAATAGTTAAGAAACTATATTTCCAAGCAAACATTACAGATTCAGAAGGACAATAAAAAACTGCTAAGGAAACTGCTTTAGGCCTAAATATAGGGAAGGCTTCCATACATAATATTAAAGTACAGCGATAAACATTTATTTCACCATATATTCAACCAAGTACCCATTTGAAGACATGTGCTCTGAAAGTTCTGAATAAATTACGAATATGATTTGAATTTCCCCCAAGCACCTGATTTATCAGATTAGGAAGAAATAATAAGCCCCCAAAAATGTCTATGTATAAGAAAAGGCATTCTTACAAAACTATCTTGTGCTTTCCTCTGGATGGCGAGATTATGGGTGATCTGTTTGCTTTCTGCATTTTACTACTATTCTGTACTCAGCATGTAAGAGCACTAGTTTCTTTTAAAGTCAGAAGAAAAATATCCCAACACTGCTACTTGCCATCTGTTGCATGTATGCAATTTGTACACCTCATCCACTCCTATGCTGTCCCACTTCTATTACTCGTTTACTTGTCAGTCTCTACAGACAGACTGGAAACTCTGTGAGGACAGAGCCAGCCGGCCAACCCCTACTTGCTTCTGTATCCAGGGCAATAATTTACTACACTCTGTCCGTAACTGGCACTCATTTAATACATAAGAATGGTTACTGTTCCTTCTACCAAGCGAGTTTCTCTCTCTTCTTTCCATCAACTTCAGTCCCTCCCATCTCAAAATTCCCTTCCTTGGTTCATCTCTGGGTTAACTCAAGTGCGAGCATGTGTATTTGCACAGATATGTATATAGGAATAGACGTATACACATTGGGAGCCAAAGTCGGATTTGATTTATATTGTTAGATCCATTTATGCTTTAACTGGTCTGTGGTACTAGACAGTATCTGCCTGCAAATAATGGGTATATAAAAACCAGGGGTGGCTGAGAGCTGGCTGACAGTCCTCTAAGTCTAAAATCTTGCCAAAACCATCAGAGAATCAGCAAGAGGCATGCAGGATAGGAACTTTGCCCTTAGGTGCTGACTTCACCCAGGTATGCAGGACAGGGATGGGCTCTTTGGAAGACAAAGAAAGGCAAGTGTTGAGAAAAAAGTGTAGCAAAGGCAAAACAGAGAGTGAAGGATTAAAGAGGGTGTGGAGGGGAAAGAGGCACTTGAAGGCAACCAGTCCAGAAAGGAAGTGCTGGTGGGAAAAGGCATGGGAGAAAAAATGAAAAGCCCAAGTAATATTAATACAAGGGAAGGCCTGGAGCAAAAAGAAGAACCTGAGAAGAAGTTCTATCACTGAGACACAGAACAGCAGAAAAAAACCTGTACCCAGGGGAAAAAAAGGTGCCATTCGCAGGAAAGACCAGAGGAACACAAGTTACAGTGTGCTGCCATGTCTGTCCATAGCAGGGGGTGCTGGGTCTAGTAATTTCCTTAAAAAAATAACAGCTGAATTAATTTTTCCTTGTTACCAGATGTGAATAATTTATTTCTCTACAGAGGGCTCATATTTATTGGACTATGAGTAACTTCCTTGAGAGACAGAGAGAGAGAGAGAGATGAAGAGAGAAAAAGGAAAAATCTTCCATTTTTCAATTCAAAATTGAGAATTAAAATTAAACCAGAACTCACCAAACCACTTTAGATGTCTGAAACATTACAAAACTTACAAATTAATATAGTAATGGACTTAGTCAATTTTATGGATGACTAAAGAAGCCTAAGTGGTCATTAAGATGAAAAAAACCCCAAAAAACCATTTCTTATCACTTCAACAATTATTGAGTTGCTACTGTTTGCCAGAAATGATTATTTCTCTTCAATACTTAAAGAATTGCCGTTCTGTTCTTTCACTGCCATCTCTTCCTGTCTTAGTCAGCCTGAGCTGCCATACAACACCATAGACCGGGTGGCTTAAACAACAGAGATCTATTGCCCACACTTCTGGAGGTGGGAAGTCCTACATAAAGGTGTCTGGTGAGGACTCTCTTTCTGGCTTGCAGATGGCCACCTGCTTGCTGTGCACCCACATGGTGGAGAGCAAACTCTCTGATGTCTCTTCTTACAAGGGCCTTACTCCCATCTCATGGGACCTACCCTCATGACTTTATCTAACCCCAACTATCTCCAAGAGGCCTGCCTCCAAATATTATCAAACTAGGGGTTAGGGCTTCAACATCTGAATTTTGGGGAGGCACACAAACATTCAGTCCATAACACTTTCTTCTTCATGTCACTAAATACAGTACTTTTCATACCTTTAAAATCAGAAAGCTGGGCTAGCACATTCTTGCCTCATGGGAGCAACAATCACGATTTGTCTCATTCTGCGTCTGGGATCCAAGTATTCATTTTATACACTTTCTGAAAAGTTTTCTTGCCAAATTACATGATCATTACTCCCCCAGTGCCTCCCTTATTTCTTTTTCTCTCCAACTGTACTTACTGCTCAGGTGAGCTCTTAAGAAAGAAACAGTATGTATTGAGCATTTTCTAAAACTGGGGGTCCTAAGTACATTATTGCATTTTCATTCTCATTCTAACCCTCAAGTCAGAGGTCTAGCAAATACCAAGTAACTTTGCATTTGAAAGAAAGTTTTAGAACCAGGAAAGGAAATCTGAGTCAAACCTAAGAAGCAATAACTTGCAAGGGTGAAGCATTTCTACTAGCATTACTAATTATGAGGAAACTGGAGGCAAGTCCAGGGTCTGTGACCCTCCCATGGAATTACCTGTCTCACCTCGGGCAATAAGCTTTTCTAATAGTCAGACATCTCAGGCTCCATGCCCGGGGGAATGCCGTCTTTAGCCTCTTCCTGTAACCAAAGAGCTTGGCTGACTGTCCTTTTCCCTTATGGAAATTCTAGCTGTAACACCCACTGTGTTTTAAGTTGAGGTTGGCATTGAAAAGCTTTAATGACAACAGGCTGGAAGATCATGTGGGGCAAGGGTGATGGTGGTGTGTGAAGACACAGAATAGATTTATCAGAGATTACCAGGGATACCTGGCAAAATCAGTACCGTAGACTAATTAGTCAGGATTTCATGATTAAGTGGACTCAGGGCTTATCAATTACCTCCACTCTACAGAAGAACTGTGAACTAGAGACATCACTCAACCAAAATGGAGCCTCACTGTATCCCATAATAAAATCACTCTGTCTCACAGCTCCTAGCCTTTCTTCATACTGTGCCTTCCTGGGAGAGAACGAAAAGCTGTAACCGGGAGCTGGTCCATGAGTGAGACCCTTGGAACTCATGTTCCTCAGTACCTGGCCTTTGGGTAGGGCTCCCAGGAACAGGGGGACCTACCAGCTCGGTCTGCCCAGCATGGTTCCAGTTTTAGCACTGAAAATCCTGTCCTGGAAAGCCTCTCTGTCCTGGGCAGGCAAACCAGAATGTCTGGTCACCCTATCCAGGAGACCTAGAACAAGAGGTTATAGAAAAGGAAATAAAAAAAGAAGAGTAATCTTTAAAAAAAATTATCTTTGATATTTCAGAGGGCTGTTTTGAAAAATCAGATGAGCATCTCTCAAAACAGTAAGAACAAAGGTGGTTCACAGAGAAAGGTTTCATTCTCCTTTTTCCCTAACAGCTCACTGCTACCATGGAATAAGGGATCAGACCATTGGTAGCTCCCTCCCCATACCATAATTCAAGATGTTATTGTTCCCTTTTAGCAAACGACCTTGTAAAACTATATGCATCTTGCCCAGGCAAAGAGCATCGCTTATGACTAATCTACATGATTAAAGTAACAGTCCGAGGGAAGTGCACGATCTAAAGAGGTGGCCACCAGTAGAGATTGGGGGGGAACTGCCTACATATCTAGAATGAAAAGGAGAATTCACCTTGTCCAATCTCATTGATTGGTAGTAAGTAAAAGACTGTGAGCTGGGTTGAGAATGATTCTGAAGTGCTATCTGGTGTAGTGGAAGAGAATGCTGAGATTAATCAGCAACATATACCACATAACAGAAATTAGCCACGTGAATCAAGGTGACCCGAGTGAGTCCAGTTTTCTCTCTCTGATAGACTGACATTAAACCAATACACAAGGAATAAAAGTTAGAAAACATAAAAGCAAGCCTATCTAATGGCAACATACTCCAAGATCCAAGAGCAAATGTTACACATATTATGATAATAAAATGTGGCTTTCAAAGCCACTTCTTATTTTTAATCTAGGAATCCAGGAAATGTGTCTTGACACATTTTTTGTCAAAGGGAGTGTTTATGGACTCTATCGTGGGTGCGTCTTTGAGCATATACTTACGCTCACCTCTATGCTCATATGCAAGCTTCCTCTTACAAACAGTCCAATACTGACTCCTGCCATCAGTCAGCAAAACAATCACTAGACATTTTCTGAAATAGTCTGTTAGTCGAAGTGGCTTATTACTTTCTTTTTTTTTTTTAAAGTAACTCTGCTCATAAAGGAACCAAAGTATCACTCACAGAGTATTATTACAAATGATCCAAAAATATCCTCAAAATGGATTCAATCATTGGTTAAAAATACTCCAAACAGTGGAAGGCTGATTGTCTCATTTTTTCCTTAAAAAAAATCTGCTTAGCATACAAATATGGGCTGGCCCTTGAATGTCGGTGATGTTATCTCCATATGACTCTGTATTGAGAAATTAGTGCAGTAATCAATCAACCAAAGTTAACATTTGTTTTCTCAGGATAAAACCTTACTGACCTGAAAGCCAGCTTAAGTTTTTATAAGGCTTATTTATTGCATTTATATTTTTAACGGTGGGTGGGTACTTTAAGAATATTTTGCTGATTATGTATATATATATATATATATGCATGCATGTAGACATTTGGAAAATGGAGAAAAGTAAATAGAAGAAAAGGAATCACACACTATCACTTCAATTCTTTTCTCTCTTTCATATACAAATGGATAAGATGGTATCTCTACATAACTCGTCTCTTTCAAACAAACTAAGGGTGGCACCATACCCCAGAGCAGGGTCTGAATCCTGGCTGGATAGTCCTTAGTTGAACAAGAACAAAGAAACAGAAAGTGGTTAGCAGTCATAACAAAGCTGTGACTGAATATGACTCAAGCCTCTATAAAGAATCGAGGACACATTTTAAAAAAATTATTTGCACACACATTTCCACCTACCCTCTTAAGAGTTTATATCCTATGACAAGAAGCAGTGGTAACCTTTAACTTTTTCTCCCCTTTCTGAATGGTAAAGACAACTGGTATCCTGTATGAATATAATATTCCTATCCAGCACATTTTGGGTGGAATCCAATAATGTGTGATAACTCAACAATTTAGCACAGGAAGCAAAGCCCACAACATTCCTTAGAAATTTCACAGACTATCTACACAGAACAGACCCATCTGAATGGGATTTTTTTATTTTCAGTGATATTTGAAGAATGTAATTTTTTCATGGTGAACACACTGGGTTTGTAACGGATGCAAACTCAGATATGTAAAAAACACAATTAAATGATTCAGACTCTTGCGTTTTTTGCTTCCACAGACCTTATTTCGGTATGGGTCAAACAAAGGAAAGTTAGTGTTTGACAACTGTGGATGACTCATCAGAGGAAGTTCTTACCATATGGATGTGCTTGTTGAAATAAAGCTGGTTAACAAAGCCAGCCTTTTTTCTCCCTGTGGGCCAATGAGGGTTTCATTTTAGGAAATGGAAGTGACAATGTGGACAAACTGTCCTGAAGTATTTATAGCATAATGTGTACTTTCCTTAAACTGCCTTTGAACAAAGAATATGTGAATGGAAAATAATTTTTTCACTCTCTTGTGTCATCTGAACTGTGTTCTCTTTATGAAACCCATTTAGCACTCTGACAAATACATAATGGGATAGGAAAGTAGAAGACTACACTGGGGTGTGCTAGTGGTTTCCCAATTAATTTTAAGAGCTCTTTATTCATTAAGGAAATGATGCCTTTGTCATATTCACTGCAAACATTTTCTCCAAGATTACCATATGCTTTTTAATTTTGCGTTATTTTAATTTTTTGATGAAAAAGTTTTCATTTTTTATATAATCAAATATATTCAGATTTTTCTTTGTGACTTTTTAATGCTTTGAAAGTCTATTTCCAGTCTCGGGTCATCAATATTTTCCACAGTTTCTTTATCCTTTTATGGTTTCATTTTTAATATTTAACTCTTTAAACCATCTGTTATTTGCTTCGTGGTAAGGAATAGAGAATCTAATCAGATTACCATTTTTACCTCCCAACAAGCTGACCAGTCACCCTACGTCATGTGTGGAACAAGCCATTCTGTCCTCCAGGATTTGTGATTTATGATAAATTACATCACTTCCTAAACTGGGGCCTTATTCTGGGCTCTCTACTCTGTTTCATTAATGCCTGTCATTTCTTCTGCTGGAACCAATTTGTTTTTATTACTGTAGCTGCATAATGCATTTTAGTGCTTGGTGGTAGAGTTTCCCTTTATAACTTTTTCTTTTTAAGCAAAAAATTCTTGGCTATTTTCGCCAATTTAACTCTTCCCAAATGCATTTTAGAAAATCCCACTGGGTTTCTGATGGTAGTTGCATAAACCTATAAATTAATTTGCAAAAATCTTATATCCTTTCAATATTCAATTTTCCCATTCAGAAAAATGAAGTATCTTTCTAATAGTCAAACATTCTCTACATCTATGTAAGTCTTTTATACCTCTCGCTCAGGTTTTATAGTTTTCTTAACAGTATAGGTCCCACACATTTGTTTACATTAGTCTACATTTTTAATTTTTACTGAGAATGAGATGGAGCTGCTACCAAATGGAGTAACGGTCACTCTTCTGTCTGGGGTCAGAATCCTGGCTGTTCTTTTAAATCATGGGTTATCTTACATTTGAAAAGTAGGAGCAGAAGGAAAAAAGGGACTTGTGGGGGATGGTTTATATGCATAGTGTGAAGACTGTGAACCTCCCAGAAAGGCTCTAAAGGTTAAAAAACATGTACCCAAAAGCACTGGGGGTTAGTAAAAAAGAGAAATAATGTGCTAATAAGCACTCAGGGTGATGACTCATTGCATTGGATCATCCTTGGGAAACTACCTACTAAGCAGAATTTAGCTGTTAAGGCGTTATTTTTGGTGCACCATTTACTGCTACTTCCTCTTGGGAAAAAAAATGATTAAATGCTAGCTCCCGAAAACACATGAAAACTGTCATCCTGGCACGTCAGCCTGTCAGGTAACAATGCTATTTCTAGAACAGGGGAAGGCTGTGTCCCCCGGAAAGGCTGCCTTAGAACAAGACAGAAGCACTTAGCCACGTGTAATGGAAAGGAGGATAAACCAGGGGACAGAAGATCAGGCTCATGCTGGCTCTGTAACTGATTAACACATCACTGAGTGCAGGCAGGCAGGCAGGCAGGCAACCTCTGCTCATCTGTTAAAGAACAGGTATCACAGCTTCTGTACCACTCTATACCACAGGCGTGCTACAAAAATAATCAACTACGTGATGAAGCAGAACTGCTGAGAAGTTAAATTAGCTGCTCAGTAAAGGTAATGTCATCAATCAGGTAGCAAATACAACGAATACTCCCTCATTCCAAAGTGATTCATTTTTGCTTAATTACCTTCTATCACTCCCTACCCACGCAGGTTTCTTTTCCATGGTTCCTTATGGCTAAATATGCAAAAAAAAAAAAAAAAAAAAAAAAAGTTCAATGATGTTATTTTGGCCCTATCTCTGTACCAAATCTCTGAATTTAATTTACCAACGATATTCTGCTGTGCTATTTACAAAGATCACTGGCTCAGAAAACTTGAAAGGTGATGTAGTCAGGAAGAGGACAAGTATGGGGGAAAATGTGTTTCCTTATTCAGTACCTATGGCAGTATAACTAATTAGTTAGAGCAACCCTCTCCCCCTTCCACTGAGCTTGAAATATGGTCTTTTCCTTTTACTGATGAAGAAACTGAGGTCCTGAGAGATTAAATGACTTGCTTGAGGCTTGATACATATTTCGTTCATTCATTCATTCCTTCCTTCAGAGAATATTTACTGAGTGTCAGTTGCTGTTCTGGATGCTAAGAATACAGTAGTAAATGAAATACACTTCCTCTCTGTGAATGCATTAATAAATTGTTGTCAGAATGTGTATTTCTCTGATTAGTGGTGAGTTTGAGTACTTTCATTTTTATGCTTATTTACCACTGGTAATACGTCTGTGAATTTCTACTTCTCATTTTCCAACATAGCCAGATAATTTTACTTAATGAAATAGTATAAGAACTATAGGTAAGATATATTTTTTCTAATCCTTACAAACAACCCTGAAAAATAGGCATTACTTTTTTCATTTTAGAGATGAGGAAGCTGGGGCTCAGAAGAGTTTTGTAACTTAAACAGACAAAGTTATGTATGTGGTAAGTATAGGAGCTGGAATCACTATTGTTAACCATGATTTTTTATTGATATTGTTTTATCACATATATAAATGCAATCTACCATAAACTGAAGTGCAATCTATCATATGTTTAAGTGCAATCTACCAGAACACATTTTAAAAATGTATGTTACGAATCCAATATTAAGGTCTATCTTTGGCCTCAAGTATAAAGTACTTCATTTATTTATGAAACAAATTTGTAAGAATCAGGAGGTTGAAGGCATGTGATTCTATTTATGATCTGTTTGCATTACACATTCTCTAGAGAGGTACAGCTCTATCTGCCA